GGAATCACTCTGTCCTTTTAAAGAACCAGGCAATTCTTAAGTGGTTACATTATTAATATCCAACAGGCATTTCAGAGAGGTCCCCCAGAGTGGTTGTGTGGCTTCTGGCGAATACCGAAAACTAACAGAGCAAATGTGTCACAATTTTATTCTCTTTCTCTGATTCATGTCTATGTCAGATTTCGTTAAAGTTTGTTTGTAATCGATCGGCGTATCTACCAATATGTGACAGTCAGTATGGCGATTAAGTCGGATAACAAGCGGCAAATGAGCATTAACAGTTGATTAGTTGCTTTCGAATAATATTATTAAATAATAACCTATGAATGCATCCCGAGCTAAAAAATCTCTTTTGCGCCTAAAGGCCCTACTAAAACAATTCTAGACTATTTATAAATCTCGTAATTGTTGTGGGATTAATTTTACGTATTTCATTTAGAACTAAGATCCCGCTTTCAAGGTAATTGCATAGAATATGTTCTGATGTTTCCTTCTCCTCATGACAGAGTCAATAGAACTCACTTTCTACCGCACCTGTAATCTTCATAATCTTTCTTTTGGATAATGAGTACCAGTTATTTTACGTGGTAACCTGACAATTGGAGTTAAAGTCACGATGTTTTAAACATCTGTATCAACAAACAAGTCTTAATTGGAGCATTTCATAATTTTAGTTCAATATGTATCATTTTTATTTGATCACCCTTTATGCGATATATAAATAAACACATTTTTCTAACATTTTCTATAATTCCTTTTCGAATAAGAAATCAGTAAACTGTGAAATATTCTAAGAAGAAGAAAAACATCAAAGAAAATATATTCCTGCTTTGATTTAGTTTCACATTTCCATAAACCCACGTACGGGCGGGCATCTTTCAAATATATTTGCATATACAAATGCATATACTGTGGTATTTGTTTTAAATATTTTCCACATACAAAATGCATTTGATGCAAAGGAAGAAATGGAGTTGCGTGCTTCCTTGCTTCGTATACATTTAGTCCTGCAACGTTTATTTCCACACACAATGGCAACGTAGGTGCTTTCATGCGCTGTTTATGTTTTGCTTTGAGTTCTGTAAGTTCTGTAAGTTCTGTTTGGAAAAACGCAATGTCATTTGAGTGAAATTACTTTTAGATAAGAAAACAAATTACTAAAACGACTGTATAGATACTGCGGCAAAGATACTGCATTTCAATTGATGTTAAAAGCAACTTTTGCGTTTACCTGAGTTACGGCGTTTGCTGGTGCATATGTTCCCGACCAAGCATGCGTCTCAATTCAGGAGTTATTAGAGTCACGTAGGATTTTAATATGACTTTTTTTGTTTAAAATTGGAAAATACAGACAAACCCTTTCTTTGTGTTTACTTTATAATATAATAAGTTTATTGTTTGGTAAATTATATCCAGTAAATGTGCTTTTGTAAATACAACAGATTTTATATAAAATCAAAATTTATAAGTACTTTTTTTAAATATAATTTAGAACAATGTAATAAAAGTTAACATAATATAAACATAGTATAAAATATTTTACCTATACTATAGGTATAATATGATATTCATATAAATAAATCATAATGTTTTTACGTATACATATATACAATGCCACAGACTGCAACTCATTTATTGGAGTCCTTTGGAAAACCAATTTTAACTACATACTAAAATATTTATTTGAAGATATCTAATATGAGTGGTGTAAAATAATCCGATATTTTGAAGAGAGATAGAGCTTTTCAAGCCCCCCCCAAGGTCACCCCTCCCATTTAATTACGACACTACATGTATAAGCTCAAGTTTCTTACCATTTAATTTAAAAAAGCCATAAAAATTCATTAGAAGTGTCTATTATTTGTAAGAAAACAGAAAAACAACTATTAATGTTATAGTACCCAAAACAATTATTTTATCTAAAACTTAATATTTTCAAATCGAGGCATCGACTTAAAACACTTCACTAACATAACTCTTACCGAAGTTACCGATAATTTGAACGTTGCAGGAGAATAAAAATCTGATTATATGACTCCACTTGATACTTCTATGGATATTCGACACTTAAAAGGTTTCGAGGAATAAAAATCAAACGATATGATTACACTTGGTGCTTCTATGGGTATTGTTTCAGGGGTGCAGTTTTACATTATCCTGGACATCATTAGGAGGAATACTAAGCTTCACTTTCTTCATCTAATTAATGTAACGTGAAAGTAACGAACTCAATGTGTTACTTTCCGGTCGACACGGCATTCGCGTAATAAAATTGGGTCTTGGGGACCCATTAAAAGTGAACGCATCGATACTGGTTATCTTGTGATAGTTGTTTCCCTGACCACTGGTACACATTAAAGTAGAATAAAACCTGCATATGATTTGTGAGAAATTGCATTTTATGCTTAAGACTTACTATAAAACTTGTCAAAACTGGAGAGGAATAGAAACAATAACTCCTTGAGATTGCCTAGGTTTGACTACGTTAACATGTCTAAGGAAAGTACTTTATTGACAGTTTATCGGACTACTTATCATCAAGAATAAAAGTTCTGTTAAGTTGCATGTATTTAAAACATTGGTTTTAGTTTTACCTTTAGACATTTTTTGGTAGAAATGTAATATTATATAGTGAATAACATTATTTATGGGGAGGGTAATAGATATCAGCTGATCAGTCAGTACAACCGACCAACCAAAGAGAACTGTCTCATCAAATTAGTGTGAAATAATTCGAAGATTTTTAATTAAAATATGTATTATTTATATTTAATATTGCAATACAATGAGATTCAACATTTATAGTTAGATTGAAAGTTATTTATTTGACTATAAATTTTTATAGGGCTGTACATTTTTAAAAATGATCGTAAGTAAAAACTGACATCACCAAATTGACACCTTGTAGGCTTGTTCACTGCAGGCAAATTTGATCGTTTCAAGTATGAATGTTTAATGTAGGGAATTTATATCTACAATTTAATACACAAAATCATTAGTAAAATGACTATAGTGATCAATACTGACGATTTTTAACACACCTACGTCATTGAAAAAAAGAGACAGGCCTAATGCTATACCAATCCGTGAGTTTGTGTAAATATAGTAACCAAATATATCTTCTAACAATTACTTAAGAACTTTCACAACCCCAAATTAGAAATTGATTGATACGTACAATAAGCGTAAAAAAAAATCTCATCACTTAATTCCTTCCCTGAATTCCTGAATTCACAACGTCCATACTATGTTTCTACGCTTTTTACAAGCTCAGCGGTTGTTAAACGATTCATAAAAGGCCTTAAAGTGAACGCTTAGTGCCTTCGATGAATATTATTTTTGATATAAGATACTGAAACAGTGCTACCTAACCAGCGTCAGTTATTTTTGCAGTGCTGAAACTTACAAAATTGTTAGTTCATGATATTTCAGGGTATTTAGAGAAACATTAATTTATAAATTTCAGCAATTAAAGTCATACCATAGTATTAAATTATTGAACTATATTAAATAAATATAAAATAATAATAACAAAAATGTCATGAAAATGTTTTGCCAATTCTTTGTAGGATACGTTTTAGCGTTTTCTATTTAAATGTAGCTAATTAATAATATTTGTATTAATTCAAATTACATTAATACTATATTA